GATGGTCTGATTCATACAAGTATATGACCAGCTTAGGCCCTTTATAATTGGGCTTGGTCGACCTTAGCAGGAACAACCCATTATTAATGATAAAGTTACCAATATGACCTTATTACCAACCTAACTGTCATATTTATTCTTCTTCATCTGTTACTCGACATTCAAACCCCCTTTCTCGCACATAGCGGCTCCTCCCATTTTATCATAATCCTATGTAATAATCAATTGTGATAATAACCATTTATGATTGACTTTGATGAGCACTGGAATTCTATAATTTGACCAAGTGAAAGACATTTGGAAGAGCTTAGTCGTTGCTACGAGCCCTAGAATTTAAGGTAATTTATCGTCCGAATTGGGTATGTATTGAATATGAATTAATACAAGGATTGTGAAATCTATGCTTAATATATGCTTCATACAATTTCTTAGTCCATGTTTCTTCAATTACATGTATGAATGATGATTCATGGATTTAACATACAAAGTATTTCCCATTGGATCTTCCTTATTCTTTATTCATTAGCTTTTTTTTGTCCAATATGATCATGTTATTTATTTTTTTATGTATTTTTTAGATTTTTTAACTCTTAATTTTTTTAAATGAATCCATGTGTTTATTTTTTAGACTATTTTATTGTCTAAAAACCAAATCTATCAATCAAACCAAATCAATGTAAATTATATTGTTTAAATCAGTAAAGTTTTAGTAAAAAAACCAATTCAATCCAAATAGTAAAAGTCCTTGAAGTGAAATATGATGGAAGAGGAAACTCACCCACACATAAAAAAGTGTTTGGTGGCGATAGATGTGGTGACAGACCAGACAAAGATAACATATTTCAAATAATGTTTTATTCTATGTTAAGCTAATCAAAATTTTACTTTTTATTTTTAATTTTATTATTCATGTGATAATATGTTATTGGTGAGATAAAGACAATAATATTATATTCTTCATAGATAACTTCTAGAACTTTAATTATCTTGATGTTTTTTTTAAATTGAAATCATAATTTTATGGTCAAAATTCATAGAATTATGGATGTCTTGAATGCACATTGACATGATAGCTAAAACAACACAACCATAATGAATGAAGGATGAAATAAGATATATGTGAATTGTAAATTAATTATTAATAAAATAAATAAAATATTATTTTATGACATAACTTATATTTTATGATATTTATAGGATAATATATTATTTTACTTTACTTTATTATCTTTCTAATCAATAGCAAGTTTTTTAATTACTATAATATTGAGGATAATAATGCCAAAAATAATTGTATAAAAAGTTATTCATTAAGTATGGTGTATGGAAAATACTTCGTTTAAAAATATAAAATTTATTTTAGTAATATCTATATTTCAAAAGAAATTAGTTTTTAGAGGGAAATTTTTTGGTAGAGGAAAACAGTGCCACCCCACTTTTATTTTTGAATTTTAGAAATCATTAAAATAAAATTAATACTTCCCTAAAATAAACATTTATTTTCATCCTTTATATATGTCTTTTTTTCCAGTTTATTTTCCCTAAGTTAATTCATTAATTAAAGATCTCCCTTCAAAAATATTTTTATTATCATCCTTCCATTTAACAACTACTAACATGTTAATAAAAATATTTGTCTCATATTATTTCAAACAATAAGCCTCATCTATTCTTTTTGTGTGCAACATATAAACATTTTATATATTTATAAAAAGAATTAAAAATAAAAAATTCGTTGAAAATAATAAGAAAATGAATAGATACATTAATTTAATAATTGTATTTATTTTTAAGTTTATATTTTATTATGTGACATGGTATTAATATGCAAGACTGTGTTTTAAGAGTTCATAAAAACAATTCAAAATAGTTTAGTTGAATCCTCTCTGTATATATATTATTTGATTTAGTTTTTGTTGAAAAACATTGTTCATAATCATTTTTAACTCTGAAATTTATTTATCATATTGTTTTCAATTATTTTTATATTTCTATGATGGTTTCCTCCAAATATTAATGTTGGCTAATGATTAAGATGCATTTTTTAATTACTAATGTTATGAATTTGATTGCAGCAATTTCCGTATACACTTATTAATAATTTAAAAGTATATTTATACAAGTATAACTCATAAAGTTTAAGGAATAAATACTTATAAAAGTGGATAAAGTTTAGGGGTTTTTTATCCATTTTTTCATTAAATTTATGCTAAGGTTCTCTGTTTTGGAATTGGACTGATATGGGGTTTAGAGTTTTTCCTTTTTTGCAATTTGTTGTGCCATGGATTTTGGAGGTTTTTTTCAACAGAAATGATGTTTGGAAGAAGCACTATAAAATTATGTATACTTTCTATATGGTAAAAGTAGCATTTAAATTGTGTTTTGCAGAATCTGTAGTAATCAGAATATAAGAGAAAGATTGTTCATTGATCAAGTTTATAGAGATGGAAGCTGAGCATTCTTCAAAACCTGAATCCACAAATGATTGCTGTGCTCTGGTATGTTTTCATATTTGCAATTTTTTCAAAATTTATTGTAGTGAGTGATGATGATGTTGTGAATATGATTTAACTGAATATTTGTGTTTTCTGATTTTGTTATCAGTGGAAGAAGAAGCATTTGAAGATAATGGAAGGGCGAAAAGCTCTTCGACAAGCTGTGAAGCTTCTTGAACAAAAAGCTATTGAGCTTGAAGCTGAGAATGAGAACCTCAAGAAAGGTTAATCAATAATCACATTCAGTATCATTTTTTTAAAATAAGAATGAGTGTAATTGAATTTGTATATGCTGTTTTTTTTGTTCTTGAGAGAGGTATGGTATACTTGTTTTATTCCACTAAATTTTTGTAGTGTGTTATTTGTAGTATGTAAGGAAGAACAAGAAAGATGGAAAGCTGAAAAAATGGAAAAGCTGAAAGAACCCAATGGCAATATTTCTTTAGAGAATGAAGTTTCTGCCGTAAAATCTGAGATCAATGTATCGCAGCAGGAATGCGGTGTAAATGTTGAGAAAGAAAATGAGGGTGTGATTGTGAAAGGTTTGCAAGCTTGTATATCTGAGAAGGAAAGGGAAATCAATAGATTAAAGGAACTTTTTGAACAAGAGAAGATAAGAGCTGATACCGAGAGGAAGATTGCGGAGAAAGAGAAAAGAAATGCTGCTGAACTTCACAAGTTATTAGAAGCAGAGAAGAAAAAATGTATTGAGAAAGAGATGCAGCTCTCCAAAATTGAAGCACAAAAGGCTGAGGAGTATAGGCTTCACCAAGTTAACTTGCAGAAAGAAGTGAGCGAAGCGAAAAAGAAGTTGGATTCCGAGACGATGAAATTTAGAGAGGCAAGCAAAGGGTTTGCTGATGAAAAGCAGAAATTACTAGTTGAAAAAAGAACTTCCGAGTCAGCGATGGCAATAGCTCAGAAAAGGTTGGAGATTGAGAAAGAAAAGGCAGCTAAGGAGAAAGGGAAAGCAGATATAGAAGCGGTCAAATTAAAGGAACAGAAGAAGCTCTTAGAAGATAACCTGAAGAGGGCTATGGAAAAAGAACGCCTTTTTGATCAAAAGTTAGAAGAGAAAACACAGACAATTGAGGGTCTGAAGCAGAAGTTAGATGAACTTTCATCTCTGAAAAAATCCATGGAAACATCTATAGTATCTTCTGATGTCTGTGTGAATGCTGAAAGTGATAAAGTAAGGTTCTTGGAAGAAATTCTGAAGGTTGAAAAGAAAAAGTATAAGTTGAAAGCAACTTGTTTACAGCAGGAATTAGGCCGCTTAAAGCTCGATTTCAATCAAATTTCCCAGCGTCTTAATGCTCTCGATACACTCTCTTCACCTGACCCTGAAAGTATGGATGGCACAACAAAGGTAGCTTTCGTTGCTGAACTAATTCAAATAATATATAATTTTTTATAAGGCTTGCATTTGTCAATTCTAATTCCATGGTGATATGATAATATTTATTACTGCCATAAATGAAACTCTCCTAAACAATTAAACTGTAACGTATTAGTTATGTTTTTATATATCTAACCTCTGCACTTGTTTACTCATTTTCTGTGCTGGAAGATTGGTTTGCAGTCTCAGTATATGCCAAGCATTCAGAACTTGAATGCAGTAACTGAAGTCTACAATCCAAATATATCTGAGATGTACAACCAAATTGAAAATGAACTTATGAAGGCTTGCAACACAAGTATGGATGCATGTGATCCTTTAAGGAAAAACATGCAACATACTACACTTCTTGCTTCATCTGGAGTAAACACTGCTGCAACAAATTCCAATACAACATCTTTTTCCAATGGACAGTTAATGGGCTCACAAGAAGAAGGGGGTGGTGCTTTACAAGTTATTGCATCATCAAAATTTGCTATGGAGGACATTAATGCAAGACCAAGCATGTTCAACCCTTTTGAGAGCTTAGTTATTAATCACAATAAGAAGAGGAAAAGAATTATTGATAAAGTGGGTGATGGATATTTAATGAAAATGTTACACTTTCAAAAACCTGCTGATGAGGAATTCTATAGAAGATCATTCAATGTTCCAATATCTCCAATCTGAATTGTTTACTAGAAGAAGGAAGCAAGTTCTGAAGACTTGAGCCAAAGAGACTTGTCTCCTTCAAGTATGATGTAATGTCATTGATGTTTGCATCAATTCCAATCATCCAAAATTTGATAGTCTCCTTGTACAAATCAGAAGCTTACCCAGACTAGAAACATTGTATTGTTTCCAGATATGCATACTCCTCTTATGCAACATCATAAAATTTGTTGTCTTTTCTGTGAGTTGACATGCGGATTTCTTGTTTTCATATTTATTGATTTACAAACAAGTTTGGCATGTGCGACCATTCCCAATATTTTCCAATATGTTTTGAACATATACTCAATATAATGTTCCTCTAACAAAAACTAAAATTTCATCAAACTTAAAAGAAAGCAAACCAGAGATTAAGGGTATATTGTCTCACTATATGTTCACATGTTGGCATTCTTTACGCTATAGAAAATTCCCAATTTCCCCACACAGCAAATTATTTTTGTTGCATAACAAAAATAAGTACAATTGTTTATGTGTCTAAATCACCTTTCATTTTAATCTATTTTTTCTCAGTCGCCACTATTTTCTTCTCCATCACGAAGACCAAAATCTTAAAACAATTTAATAGAGATTGACTCGAACAAAAAAAAGGAAGGACAATATTTAAACTAAAATTGTAGGGTGCGCCAAGCCCAAGCTATAGTGTAACGCTTGGGCGACACATGAGAGGCCCAGTAGCAAGCTACTGTAATGGACTCTCCCCTTCAAAAAAGTAATTTAATATCGTGTGGGCCATTGGCCCACATATCAGATATTAAACTGATAAGAACAGATACTACACTTGATCTTAGCCAAAAGGCCGAGAAAGGTATGAATATTTACATTGCTGGGCTTCATTTTTATATTACTCCTCTTCCAAACTGCTTCTTAAGTTCATCTGTGTGGGACTAATATTTCTTTCCCTTCACCTACTTTCACAGCACCACCATTTTGCTTATTCGCTAATAACCCCTATCATACACATAACATATGGCTTTAAAACACTTGGTATGTGATAATTTGGGTGTCCCATTAAACAATCCTTTCGTATTTACTGATTTATTACACCAATGGACTTGTATAGCAAAAATCAGACACGGATTTTAATGTAAACAAAGTCCTACGTTTGAGACTATATTTGTTAACTTGGCACTTTGTCTAACATACACAAGATCCTCTTCATTGCTTAAGAAGATGGAAAAACGGTGAATGTGTTGGAAGGGAAGCATGACTAGATTTTTAAGTTTATTTGTTTTTAAAATGTGTCATACTCGAGTATCTTATCGTATTCGTGAGGGTTAGAACTTAGAACCTGATAAAAAGACCTTCATTTCTATTACAGCTTTTGCAAGAAAAACAACACTTGTCACAGACACAAAAGTACAGAATACTAACCCAAATATATATATATATATATATATATATATATATATGTTTTATTTGTCGTAATTAGCTAATAATAAAAGGTTGAGAGAAATTTACAGATAGCAACATAATGAGTGTTGAAATGCAATACAGTGAGTGCCTTATTTATTCCAAGGTGTTGCATTTACTGTCTTTAAGGCTCATAGTTGAAAGTGGAAGTGGTGGAATGCTTTGTTCATGCCTGAACAAGTTTTGAGGATCCACTTTGGTCTTTATCTTCACCAATCTATTGAAGTTATCCTTGAAATACATATTACCCCAACCATTTGCCTCTATGTAACTTGTGCTATTCTTCTTGTTCACTCCTAAATCAAGATCTCTATAATTCACATATGCTTCCCTTGGGAACTTAGACACATAAGGAGTCATGTAGTTGTAAAGCTTCCTAATCCAATCTACATGCTTTGTAGCATTCTTATCTCCCTCTTGCCAAAGAGATAAGTATTGGATTTTATAGAGTGTTCCATTTCTATGAGGGAACGGAATATCGGATTCCGAAAACTTGCTCATCATTCCACCATAGGGGTTCCAAATCATCAAGGGACTATCTTCTTCAAGCAACCTTTGCCATAATCCTTGAAGTCCAGTTTCTGATATTGGGTTTCTCACAAAATCTGATTTGGCTTTGAAGTAGTTCTTGAATGTTGATTTCCCTTCAAGTAGAACTTTAGGTGGTGTATCATTAGGATAGCCAGCAATATATAACACAGATTTGATCCAACTAGTTTCCAAGCAATCTTTTCTTGTCAATCCTAATTCAGGAAAACTTTCCTTCATAACTTGTAGGAGTCTATCAACTCCACCAAGGAATTGAGCATTGTAAGAAGTTATGATAGTTCTCTCAGTTTTGTTTGCAGCACTAGCTGGTTGAATTATGACTCTAATAAAGAGATCATTATCAATATAAGGTGCCACTTCTTGCCACCTATGAAGAACCTTTGTTGCATTTTGCTCTAGGCTCTTTGTAACTGTAAAAACTGTCACAGTTTCAGGCACAGGAACCAGCTTTATCTTCCACCATAGAATGATACCAAAGCTTGTACCTCCACCTCCTCTAATTGCCCAAAATAGGTCTTCCCCCATTGTTTCCCTATCAAGAATGTTTCCATTAGCATCAATTATTCTTGCATCAAGTACATTATCAGCACCAAGGCCATACTTTCTCATCATGGATCCATATGCACCTCCTGTTATGTGTCCACCAATACCTAAGCTTGTGCAAAGGCCTGCAGGGAAACCATGAACTTTGCTTTTCTCATAAATTTTGTAATAGACTTCACCAATTGTTGCACCAGCTTGAACCCAACCAGTTTTATCATCGATATCAATGTTTGCGCCGCGAAGCTTGACCAAATCAATGATTATGAAAGGAGATTCAATTTCTGAAACATATGAGAGTCCTTCATAGTCATGACCACCACTTCTTACTCTCATATGAATACCAAGTTTCTTCGAACAAATTACAGCAACTTGGACATGGGAATCAGTTAAGGGTGTGAATATAAATTCGGGTTTTGGTGCTGAAGGGACCAACAACCTTAGGTTCTGTGCAGTGGAATTAAGGATGTTGTTAAATGAAGCAGTTTTTGGAGTGTAAATTGATTCATAAAATGGAGCTGCTTTGTCTGAGTGGAAACTTAGACATTGGACAAAATTTTGTTCAATTGAAGCTGAAGCTGTCAATGGAACTGATAGTAAGAGAACTAAAATTGCCAAATGTGAACATGGTGACACCATGATTTTGTGTTCTAAGGTTTGGTTTTTCATATTTTGTGCTGAAAGAAAAAGGCTACCACAAATGTTTATATATATGTGAAAAAAATGTGATATAAGGTATGATGGGAAGTAAGTCTCACACCGCCTATCTTGTTGTCTCGGTAATGGATAATTTTTGAGTCAAATGTAATTTTTGGCCTGGTCTAACAGTCTTATGTGGCATACTAGTAAGTAAGTCTCACATCGCCTATTTCATTATCTCCGGACTTATGCCTACATAATAACAATAAAACAGTTTACGTGTAAATGAGCTAAGACAAACATCATAGAGAAGTAGAGTGTTAGCATTATATTGGGTCAATGTTCAAATCTTAATTATGACATTGTGGAACATGAACTTTCTGATTTTACTTAGATTCCAAGAACATCTACCACTTTCACATTTAACACAATCTGAAAGAACTAATATTGAGAATGGTTTTGCATCACATGCCTGATAAGATTAAGAAATGAGATAAGCATATATATTATAAGCATTATAGTCATCAATTCTTGGGAAATCCAATAGTTTGAATTAGTGAGTAGATCTAGACCATTAGATTTCCTAGAATTGATGGTTAAGATATAGAATAAGTTTAAAAAATCTTACTCTTAGAGTAAGTGGATCTCTCCTCATATATTATAAGCATCTACCACTTATCATATGATCATGCAACAACTAAAGGAAATTGTGGAAAATTAATTTATTAGATTCTATTATCTTTAGTAATATTCATCAACACATTTAATGGATTTGTAGTGGGGGAAATGGGTATAGGTCCACAACATCACTCATCAATTGGTAGATTTGTTACTTCACGTGATAATGTTAAATCAAGTTTACTATCACACGCTTACGTTTCATAATACTTGTTTGCTAAGTCTGTGGTTAATGTAATATTAAGAAATTCCTATGCCCCAAAGCATACCTTGGTACAACTACAAGTCATACTATAGCTATATAGCATTGTTTCAAAATTCGGGAGTGATATGACTGCAATTTTATGATTGTATGGATCATTGTAACCATAACCGAGCCACAACGATGCAGTTATATCGAACTACATCAAATTTAAAATATTTTTTAATTACAAAAGAAATCACACAACAATGGCTACAATATTCTTTGCAACATCTAGGATCACGACCATAAACCCGTAATTTAAAACATGAATAATTATTGAATGTATACTTATATGGAGAAAAGTAAAAAGAAAAGGACCTTGCGATCAAACATGTTCAAGGATGATTAATGTGTCATTAACTAAGTAGTGGATTATGTTTGGATGAGATTACATGAAGCCTGCCAAGTAGAACCATATACCATAATCTTGTACAAAAATAATGTAAAGTTTGAATGTGAAGTGGAGATGGTTACATTATTGTAAGATTAAAATAATGATTATACGTACTAGTATAAAAATGTTTCAAAACTTTTATTGCGAAGTTGTATTCTTTTATTTCATTTCATCAACCAAGCCATACTGCGTAGTGTTGGCTTTTGTACCAATTTATACTATATTAATATTATGTCTTGGGAATGCTCAAGTGACAGTCGAATTATAAATACTATATATATATAATATGATTTTACAGTAACAATAATATATATATAATAGGATGAATATATGTAGTTAGAGATAAAAGAATTAAAAGTGAAATAACCTATTTTATGATAAATATAATTATTCAAATCAAAATTGTGAATAATGAATTTTATTTGGCCAATATAAAAAAATAACAAAAGAAAAATAAATGAATAAACTGAAAAGATGGGGAGAGAATGAGACTCACTATTAAAGTTTGATTTGTGAGAGATGTAAAAAAATCACGTGAAATAAGATGATTTGAATAATTAGTGTTTTTAAGATTATTTATGTTATCATTTATTAAGAATGTCTCTTTTTAAAACCAATAATTTATTTGCGCATGATTTAAAACAAAATAAATTTTTTTTTGCTACAATTTGTTTTTGTATTTTTTTTGGTTGGACAAAATTGAGTTATATATGATACTAATTTCAACAATTTCGGTTAGTAGAGCTAAGAGGAGAATACCTGAGTTAAAACTATGGTGATTATATAATTTTTCATTCTCCCTCATGTAAACAATTTATTTATTTGCTATACAACAGTATATATTCATTTCACTTATTTAGGATATCATGTTGTTGATACAAGAACGAAACTATTCTAATGTATAATTTGCGATTGAGAATAATGTATCTCCTGATATAAGGAGATAAGTTATCCCATCTAACCATTAAAATCGTGACATGTGTATCATTTAATCATTTTCTACAAAAATATTTCTAAAACTAAATAAAACAATACACATGTCATTCTTTTGCTGGCTGAAAGAGGTAAGTTATCTCATTGTATGAAAAAATACTTTATTCTCTTTGCAATTTAGGCTCATATAAGTAAATAATAACTTTGACTCACATGATTCACTTACTCCAAGAGTGAGTTTAAAAAACTTAATTCACATATTATCCATCAATTTTAGGGAAATCAAATGGTTTGAATTTGAGAATAGATCTAAATAATTGGATTTCCCTAAAATTGATGGCTAAGACGTGATTAAGTTTTTTAAACTTACGTGGATCTCTCATCTAAATTAATAAATATAGTGAGTAGATTTTCTCCCTAAC